CAAACTCAATGATTCCATGGCCATTCCAGCAAATGGAGCTGCATCCCCTCCACCTCTCTTCCTGGCCAACACAGCTAAACCTCCTCCAGCCTCCTCACTCCAGAACTGACACCACTTCTCCCTGCCAACGCCAGAGATGCGCAGTACTCCCCCCAGGCACAGCTCACAGGCTGTCACAGGAGACACAGCCACGTTCAGCTGTCTCGCCATGCACCACATTCAGTGTGCTAATGGGGCACCCCAAGGTTGGCTGAGACAGAGCATAAAGGAACGGGCATATGCTGGGATGTACAACCCAACCCAACTGCAGAATTGCTCTAGGAAATTGCTCCACCAAATTAAGCTTCTGCATTTATCCCTATTTTCCCCAGCAGTACAAATCATCAACAGCCACTTCTCTCCCAATGACTCAAATGCAAGTGAAGCAGTTTGGTTTAATAGCAGTTTGCTAAGATGGGAACTCATTCTCCCTTTTTGCTTCTCTTTCCCAGATTCTGGGTAACTCCCAAATTAATTACAACATCATTGGGGCTTTATGGTGATTTGGGTGTAGGGAGTGCTATGGCCTCCTGCTGCTGGAGGCTCCTCTAGCAGAGCCCAACGAGCTACAAACCACTCACAACTCACATCTACAAATCCCAGGCACACAGAAGGCTGTGCCATCCCCTAAACAGAGCTCCTGGAACATCTCACTTCTTAGCTACAACTGCAGAAACTAGAAAACATGAAATAAGAGAATATTCTATTTTCATGGAAGGAACCAATGATAGTTTTGCTATGCCATGTGAGAGATTTGACAGAGTAATTATTTGCCTGTGATAAATTCCTCTACTTTGCAATCTTTGGGTTCAAAATATAAACAACTAAGGATTTTAGGTCTGAATAATTAAATGCAGCTAGTCCTGAGCCTGATAGCAGTGTGTGCATCCCATCTCAAACCAAACCATTAACCTTCTTTCACTGAAGGAAAAGGGAGGAACCTCATCCCAGCAAACTCCCAGAGCTCTGGAGCTCAAAGATGCAGCAAAAAGCACATCCTTTACCTGTCTTTTGGCCTGACTAGTGAGTGATTTTCTCAAAAAAAGCAATTTAAGCAAATCCAATAGATGTTGTGCTATACAGATATTTTCCTGTGCTGTGAAGCAGCTCAAACTGTGCATTCTCCACCCTAACAGCTTCTATAAAAGAGCTGGCAGCAGAGTTTCCAAATATTCACAGAATTGGACTTAAATACTCCACACAAAGGGCAAATCCAGGTTCATGGGATAAATTACTACCAACCACCAACAAAGAGAAAGAAGCTCAGGTGTTTTCAGCCTTTGTTACAGCAGATTTCACCCTTTTCAGGGCAATCTTTACCCAAAACAGGACCCACAGTGGCACTGAGTATCAGTGGAAGAATTCCTGCTCTATGATTGTATATTTAATACACAGTTTGGGGTTGGTTTATATTTCCTTACAGATTTTTGAACATGCAAACAATAAAAGCATAGGGATAATTAACTGGTTTGGCCATATCTAGCTCTACAATTTCTATAGTTCCTTAATTAAGTGTATCAAAGGGTAGGGGGAAAATAGGAAGTCAACTCTAAAATCCCTTCTTTTTAGAACAGGAAAAACATTTAGATTCAGCAAGTTCTCACTAGAAATATTGCTATAAAGTATTGATTTTTTTACCAGACTCAATTGACTGAAAAGTTGTTTGTATAGCAATATTGGCCAAACCAATATAGTGGAACAATTTTGCTCCAACACAGTAATCAAGTGTATTTCTAAAGTATAATTATACTGTCATAAAAATAAAGCTAAGATACCTCTTCTCCAAGCAATAAACCAGTTGCAGCTGTAAAGAACCCAAATAAATGAAATCCATTTTCTAACTAAACATAGTGTCTTCCAAAGAGAACAAACCCACCTCCTCTCTCCCCCCTTTTCAGCATGAAAAGTGATCAATACTTCAATCTCAATAAACTATTTCAATAGTAGTTAATTCCCATGGAAAGAGAGGCTGAAGGTTTTTGCTCAGCCACCTGCAACTTGCTATCTTGTTTGCTCAATGCTGAGAATATATCATTGCCATAATGGATATGAGTTAGGAGAAAGAGGGAGAAAGAGAGGGAGGGCAAAAAGCCCAGCTAGGAGGGGAGCCAGGCCTGTTGTTTAGCTGCAGATCAATACCTCACACGGCCTCTTCGCCGAGAGCCTGTGATGCTGCGAGGGGGAAACAGCCAAACCTCTGCAATTCATTTTACTTGACAAATGTTCATTGATTCACTGGAATAAAATAGATGTGGGTTGCTATCTATGACTGGTGCAATCCAGCTACCTTTAAGTATGCCATTTGGCAAGTCCTCATTGGTTTGGGTGGTGCAGAGGGTGTGGGAGGAGAGGGTTCCTTGTACAAAGGGTGATTGCTCCAGGGTGGGGAATACTGTCACAGGGTTGGAGCAGCTCTGCCCTGGGCCCAGGCTGGGAGAGCTGGGGGTGTCCAGCCTGGAGAAGAGAAGACTCCAGAGAGACCTTAGAGCCCCTTCCAGTGCCTAAAGGGGCTCCAAGAGAGCTGCAGAGGGACTTGAGACATAGACATGGAACGACAAGAGGGAATGGCTTCATACTGCCACAGGGTTAGATGGGATATTGGGAAGGAATTGTTCCCTGTGAGGTGCTGAGGCACTGGCACAGGTTGCCCAGAGCAGCTGTGGCTGTCCCATCCCTGGGAGTGTTCCAGGCCAGGTTGGATGGGGCTTGGAGCAACCTGAGCTGGTGGGAGGTGTCCCTGACCATGGCAGGGGGTGGAAGAGGATGATCTTTAAGGTCCTTTCCAACCCCAAACCATTCCAGGACTCTATGACAATGTGTAAAACATCCACTCATAAAACCAGTGCACATTCCCTGGAGCAGGGCAGAAGAACACCTGCGCAGGAGAGAACACTGTGAAGTCACTGCAACTGCTGATTTAAAATATCAATGGGATAAAAAGGAACATGAAAGGCAGAAATAGATCCCTGACACAGAATGAGCCTCATGTCTGTTTTTTACCTTCCCAGACTGCAGGCAAATGCCACAGTCACCCATCTAACAAAGGAGTTCATGGCACATCACCTTTACAAACAGTCAAACAGTGCAAGTTTGGCTTTACATCATATTTCATTTAAATTTCTTCTACGATTTTAAAAAATGTAAAATATATACTATTCACATAGCAATGTTATAAAAGAAGGAGGTATTTTTGTACCACCTTCTGCACCCAAAAGCACCAACAGACATAGAATAGAGCTGTTCCTTGACAGTATGGCAGATGCAAGTTGACAAACAGACATGAAGTTCAGCAGATCTGCAGTGTAAAAACATCAGGGAAGAACAGATTCTCTTGCCTTGGTTTACATTCCTTAGACTTTGGCCACAGGATGAGGGGGAGAGATTTTAGGTAGGACTTGCTAGGGCCATTCTTATGCTGCTCATGATTTCACACTGTTAGCTCCTTATTTCATAGCATCATATAATGTTAAGAGGTTGAAATGGACCTTAGAGATCACCCAGCCCCAACCCCTGCCCTGGGCAGGGACACCTCCCACCAGAGCAGGTTGCTCAAGGCTCATCCAACCTGGCTGTGAACACTGCCAGGGCTGGGGCAGCCACAGCCTCCCTGGGCAACCTGGGACAGTTCCTGTTTCAGCTACTTCTCCAAAGAAAACCAGCCAGAACTGGGTTACAATGACAAATATGAGTTCCCTCACTTTGTGGATAGGATATTCCTTGTCCCTAACTATGCCTCAAGTGCTTTCCACAGGGCCCAGAGTATGTGACCCTCCTTTGCGATGCTTCTTCCACCTACAAACACTCCCAGAGCACAGGGAAGGAACCTCCTCTACATCAGAATCACCAAGGAATCACTGATTGGGCTTTAAAGCTCAACAGTCTCTCTCAAACCTATTATAAAGTAAGACAACAGTGCCATTTCTGAATGGTTTTTCGGTCTAGGAATATCCTTTTTCAAGGGAATGTCCATGAGATTTCTGATCCACAAGGCTAACCTGGTTCTAAGAGTCCACCCAAAGACCAGATTTGTTCCTTTAAGCTTTTGTAAGTCCATTTCCATTAAACCTTCTGCAAGGAGGTTTTGCAATGTTGGCAGCCAATTAGAAACTAAACTAAATGCACTGTAGCTTTTAAAACATTTTAGGGAAAAAAAAAGATATTAATATCAAAGTTAAAATGTCTAAGGTATAAACAAAAGCCTAATAGGATGCTGGGTTACTGTATATGGTAAATAGCTCTCTGGAGGAAACCTTTATTACTCCCTCAGGGCTTTCTTACAAAGTATGGATTTCTTAATTCCTGGAGGAATATTTTTCATACCCCAGTGCAGACTATTAAGTACCAGATATTACATTATGTAGTTTAAACTTTGCACTATGCATGAGAAAAGCCTTTCCTGTCGAGAAAACGAGATCTGTGCTATTATCATCTTTACTATATGAAAATTAATCCTGGCTGCAGGGTATGAGCTTCACTACCAAAATTTGGGGGAGTTTAGCAGTTAATGCATTCATCAGTGTCTGTAAAGCCACTTGAAAGGGAGAGAAGTCACAGTGGAAGGGGGTGAGGAATTCTCAGCTGGCAGAGAAGGGCAGAGCACTAGTGGCTCTACTGGTGTCAGCCCCAGTAAGGGTGTGGTGAGCCAGCAAGAGTAATGGCAATTCATTCTGCCTCAGGACATTGCAAGTTCCACTTGTGAAGCATTAACTTGCTCCCCCTGGAGGGATTCCAAGCTAAATATTACAAAGATAATAAGAATGCACCAACCCTCACAGCAGCCAAGAGCTTGTAAATATAGTGAGAACTGGTCCAAAGTTTCTATTAAGAATTTCATTTGATGCTGTTTGCTGCAGAGCAGCAGTGGCCTAACCTACATCTTGCCATGAATACAGAGGGTAAAAATAAAGACAGAGCTGTTAAATCTTAGTTTTTAAACATCTGAAGTGCCATTCCCCACTCACTTGTAGACTGTGCCTCCATTGCCGTGGCCGAGGATGTCTCGATACCGTATGTCTTGTTCATTCATCTCCACAAGAAAGAAAGAAAAAACAAAAGAGATGTCATGCTGGGGATGGAAATGTCAAGGAAAAGCAACTCTAGGCCATAAACAACAAGCAGTCTGGGTCATTTCAAGTTCAGCTGCAAGAACGAGAAGATCAATACAACATTTGCTGTCCAATTTATAAAAGACGATACCAAGGGACAAAGTGATGGAAAGTTTAATGACAATTTGTTTGCCTGGGTCATTTCATTAAAGTTTGATAAAAGGTGTCAAAATGGAATGATATAATATAGCTCAAGAGGGTCAGGTCACAGATACTGATAGGAAAAGGGGCTCCAGCACAACACATAACCAAAGCCAAAGTTGGAGGTGAATGGAAACAATCCAACAGGAAACTGTCAGCTGGAGTGTGGCTGGAAAAGTTGATGATTTATTCTGGAATCAGCATAAGTGATGCTAATTGAGGGACAGTTCTGCCAGCAGGATTACTTCGTAGTGTTTAATTCATACACCTTTGAGCCACAGCACATCATCGGGAAAAAAACAGTCTTAGATTGCAATAAAATTCATTTTCCTTGAAATACACAACTAATTTTTGGCTTCACTTCTTCTGTTCCCCAGGACAACTTTCCAGACATGAGAAGACTCTGAGAAAACAATACGTATTTCAATTACACAATCTTACACACTGCAAAGGCTGGATTTTGGGATCTTTCTGATCTGGGTTTTATAACAGGTTATTATATTGCTGAAGGAGCAATTCAAATGTAAAACTACAGTTCAACCTTTTCCTGTACAAAGCTATACTGATTTTATATCTATAAAAAAAATCACTGAAGACATACTTGCAATGTATACTTGAAAATAAACATTTTAATCAGACTAAATACTAGGCTGATAGCATTTTCTGTTCCAAAAAGATCAGCCTGATCTTTGGAAGCTGCAAACATTTGGGCAAATCCCACCTTTAAAAGATCTTTTCCTTGGAAATATTAACTTTTTTCCAGCGACTCTTTGTATTTTCTGGGACACTAAGTTAAACATTTGACATGACTTGGCCTGGCTGCTTAAAGACTGACATTAACTGCATTAACACAAGTGATGGCAACAACCTCAAATGTCCTAAAGAGTCTCAGCACATCTAATGAAGGGAAAATGAAATATTTAATTGATTTGAAACAAGTTTTAAGGACAGAAAGTATTAAGTCCAAAATTTGTGTCCTTTCCTTTCACTACCTGAATTTTTGGTTTCTCACAGGACTTTTCTTCTCACTGCATTTCTCACACACATTTCTTCCAGTGATGTTAAAACCTGAGCGCTCAGAAAACTCAAAATACCTCAAAGGACAAGCTGATTCTACTTTATTACTTATGTGTAGTCAAACCTGGGCCAGGTACCTTCAGAGGTTTTAAATGCTCCATTCAAACATCATTTTATGGTGAAAATCAACATTTATTGCATTACTGAAAGTTAATCCATCAGAAAATGCACATAAAGGGGGGAAAGACACCTCATGAGGAATAATCATTCATGCTTGGGTTTTACACGTGTGAAGGATCTGTAGTGGATCCTTTGCACTAGAAGTAATTCCTCACAGGCTGCAGCACTAGTTCATTTAAAGCACTCACAGTGATTAAGGAGCTCTGCTGTTTCCAAGCTGGAGGACTTGAATGCTCCACTCTTGGAGGTAACAGCAAACACATTAAAACATTCCCAGAAATAGTCTTCCAAACACAACTTTGAGGAGAAAGCAAATGACCCCACAGAGTTGTATATTTGTTTCTTTTGGGGAAAAGAAGAATCTTTGGGGGTTACACGAGTTAGGAACAACAAATTGAGCAGAAATGGAAATATAAAGTGTTTCCCCTTCCACCTGCTTTTTGCTCTCTGGGAAAAGGGAGTATTTTCTTCACATCAATCCTCAAAGACATGGATAGGAGCAGCTCCATCCTCTGAGGCTTGTGCCAGTACGAAGAGCAACCAGAAATCCAGGGAGAAATAGGAATACTGGGGTGGAGTATCTCTGCTGGAGAGCTAAAGTGTGATTTACTGGCTCCAATAAAGATGCCAAAACCATGTGGTGATTGATTTCTTTTCCTAGGAAAACTGGATTCACCATCATAAAATGCTAACAGAGTAACAAAGGCAAGGCTGGAATATTAAACCTGCAACTTTGGCTGCCAATAGTAGCAGAATTAATTGAAGAGCAAAGGCAGCTTCAATTATGGATCAGCAAACAAAACATCCCACGCTGGGTTGGGAGAAATCAGTGTCTATCTCTTGTAAATCATTAAAAGCAAAATGCTCAATTAATCCTTGTTTGATCTGTGGAGGTTGTGGCCATCCCTTAGCTTTTGGGCTCCTGGCTTCAGAGAGCAGCCACACACCGTGAGCAGCCAATTGAAGAGATTTAGTAAATCCCACTTTATGGAGCAGAGACTAATGGGAAAACAGGAGCCAGTCAAATGTTTCTTATGAACTGGTGACACTCTATCAATGCTGAATCAATTGGTGGCATTTACCCTGAGTGACAGGAAAGAAATAAATATTTATATCCCATCACCTATATCAATGAAGCCAGGCACAAAGCTATTTCTAACCTGTCAATATTTGATTATCTTGAAGAATCATGGCCCCTTCTTTTAATGATTAATATCAATTGCTTATTAAACCTAAATGGAAACTACTAGAGGGATAGCATTAGCAGTACCTGAAAGCATAAACTGCCAAAGAAGAAGCAGAAATAATAATCCAGGACATAGTTAAGTAATGCTAAGTGTGAGTTAATCCCCCAAAAGGAGGAGAAGTTAAAGCTGCTACTAGAAATTCAGCACCAGTTGTGGATCTGTGGCCAAATTTTGCAGACTACAACAAAAATAATTTGCTTTGCACAGAAATCAGTGTAACTCCTAGCAGGGTGACTAAAAGCCAATATTAAAACTTAATTATAGTATATTAAGGGGCTGGAATGGACCTTAGAGATCATATAGTCCCAAGCCCCAAATTCTTATTTCCTTGGCTTTTTTATAATGGGTTAAAATAACATTTTTTATACCATAATAAGAGGTTTTGCCTCTTTTATACCTTTCTGTTATTCTAAACCACAGGAAAGATGCGTAAATCCACTTCAGGGCACACAAACCTTGTTTTTGTTGTTTAGAGGGGAGGAAATGCCAAACTCAGAGAATCACAAGAAGATGTAATTCTACTTTTAAAAACAATACTGGTGTAATTATCACTTGGTTTAAGAGTTCAGCAGCCTCTTGCTGGTACTGCCAGAACTGCTAGAATCTCGGCTCCAGTTGTGGATCTGTGGCCAGATTTTGCACAACACAACAAACATCATTTGCTCACCACCAAAATCAGTGCAACTCCTACCAGGGTAACATGAAAACTTAACACCATAGCATCAGAGCATGTTAAGGGGTTGGAATGGACCTCAGAGATCATCCAACCCCCAAATTCTGATTTTCTTGCTTTTTTATAATGGGTTAAAATAACATTTTTAATACCATATATCTTTAAATTACATTTTTAATATCACAATAAGAGGCTTTGTCCCTTTTATACCTTTCTACACTTCTAAACCACAGGAAAGATGTGTAAATCCACTTCAGGGCATACAGACTGCTTGTTCTTATTGTTTAGAACACAGAAATTCAGCTAATCATAAGAAGATGTAATTCTGCTTTTAAAAACAATTAGTAATATTGGAGTAATTATCAGCTTGATTTAAAAGCTCAGCAACCTGCTGCTGGCACTTCCAGAATTTCAAGTGATCAAGAGAAACAGATTGTTCAGTTCTACATTTTGAAACCTTAACAAATCTACCAGGTAGGAATTTGTGAGTTATAAACTCAGCCAGTGCAGAAAGGAATATAAAACTAAATCTGACAAGCTTAAAAAACCACATTTCCAAGCTGTATTCAAGGGATTCGGTGCCAAAGAGGCAAGGCTGCAGCACTGGGGGGGCTGTTGGCCTCCTGTTTTGGAGAGGCACAAGCATCTATTAGCCCCCAATGTTACAGGTGAGGCTGAAGGACAAGCATGAAGCTCAGCCTTTATCTTCTTGACACGCTCAACTACAACTACTTGATTCATGAAATGCCAATGAGGCTTGGAGAGGTCATTGTGTGAAGGCACTGAATACACATCTGAGATAATTAAGATTTCAGCCTTCCAAACATGGAGGGGAAGTGAACAGCAGTTAAGAAAATCAATAAGAGTCTTTTATTTGCAGTGACACAGATGTCTCAGTCAATAGAGCCTAATAGGCAAACCTGATGGCAATGGACAGGTGTTGGCCTCCTTGGCCAGCAAAGGGCTTTCACCAGCACAAACGTTAAAGCATATTTATGTGGCTGCTGCAGGATCTGGGATTCTTTTAGGGTAGTTTCATTGAAGGGAGGATATGTAATGTCATTCCAAGCCTGCCTACACATTCAGCTGAAAATGGGTAACAAGAATTGTGTTGTTTGGCCACTCGTCCATCAATTGTGATGTTAAACCTTTCAGTTCTGGGTGCCAGGGGCTGAGTGCCTGGAGCAGGGAGAGAAAGGAACAAGACAGCTTTCCATAGCTTTGGGGCTTTTTGGGTTTAGTGGGTTTTGTTTGCTTTTTTTAAAGAAGATACAACATAGAATCATAGAATTGTTTAGGCTGGAAAAGGCCTTTAAGTCTTTTGGACTTCAGTTGGACCTTGAGTCCAACCATTAACTTATCACTGCATAAAGTGGCAGAATTGCCTTAAACTGAAGGAGAGAAGGTTTAGATTAGAAATTAAGAAGCAATTCTTCCCTCTGAGGGTGCTGAGGCACTGGCACAGGGTGCCCAGAGCAGGTGTAGCTGCTTCATCCCTGGGAGTGTTCCAGGCCAGGTTGGATGGGGCTTGGAACAACCTGGGCTGGTGGAAGGTGAGGGACAACTCACCTTCCAACTCAAACCATTCCATGATTCTATGATTCTGAACAGATTCCAAACAGTACAGAGAGGTTCCTTGCAAGAAGCTCTTAAATATTTAAGCATCTAGTGCCCTAAAACCCATGAAGGTTGTTCTGACTGAGCAGTTGACTTAGTTATTCAAAATTGATTAACTTTCTTCCCTGCAATTGTGGCAGCAGAGCAACATGTGTGAGGTGCCTCAATCTATTTGGAGCTAAATTTGATTAGCACATTTTGAGAAATGGGAAGCAAATTGCTCTGCCAATCAAAGTAAATCAGGACACATAACTCATTCATATCATGGAGGTTTTCATGGCCCTTCCAGTTCTGTATTAAAAGAACACATTACAGCTAAATGAGCAGTAAGCATCTCTGCACCTATTTGGGGGGTGCCAATCACTGCAGAATTAGGCAGCAACGAGACATGCATGAGGCCAAGGCTCCATCCAATGCACCTACCTGGCCATTGGCAAGGATTTTCTTCAGCTCTGCAGAAGATTTTTTCAAGCTGAAAGAAAAAAACCAGGCAATTATTTTTAAGGACTTGCTGCTTCATTCTATCAAGCAAAGTGAAAGTATAAGAAACAAGCTGAGTTCATGGTTATATATTCTGAATAGATTTAACTTTGAGGAGCTGCTATACTCTACATCAGTCAGTGCCAAACTGCAAACAGCAGAAATGGAGAAGCAATGAGCACTGAAGAAATCAATATATTTTTCACCCTACAAACCAGCTGCTTTAGATACCTGGCTATATATACACCACCCTTGGAGATACAACCTATTGTTCATCAGTGAAAGAAAAAAATAGCCTCACACATCAGGTGTTGCAAAAAAACAATATGAAAACAAGGTTCACATCTAGTTTTCAGGTGCCATATATTGGTTTAGAGCTCCTCAAGGCTTACATAGAATGTTAAGGGGCTGGAATGGAGCTTAGAGATCACCCAGCCCCAACCCCTGCCCTGGGCAGGGACACCTCCCACCAGAGCAGGTTGCTCAAGGCTTTAGCCAACCTGGCTGTGAACACTGCCAGGGTTGGGGCAGCCACGGCCTCCCTGGGCAACCTGGGACAGTGGCCCACCACCCTTACAGGAAAAATCTTCCTCATATCTACTCTAAATTTCCTCCTAGCCAAGTCCCTCTGCAGCTTCCCTGGAGCCCCTTCAGCTCCTGGCAGGTTGCTCTGAGGTCTCCACACAACCTTCTCCTCTCCAAGCTGAACAGCCCCAACTCCCTCAGCCTGTCCTCACAGGGGAGATGCTCCAGTGCTCTGATCAGCTTCGTGGCCTCCTCTGGACTTGTTCCAACATTACTCCTCCATAATTTATGTAGATCTGCAGCAGAAGGCTGTGCTGATGGTGGTGTCCCACTCTCTCTGCTGACCACAGACTGGAGCATAGCAAAAGCAGGAGAGCACAATGCCCTCAATGTAAGAGGGATGTGGGACTGTGTCCCTGACATGGTGTCCTTGCCCAGGAGAGGGGAGGTTGGGACTAGATGATCTCTAAGTTCCATTCCAACCCCTAAAAACTCTAGGATTCTATGGTGAATTCCTAATTTAGGCACCTCAGGGACATGCCTAAGTCCCTTGGCCAAGTCCAGCTTGCCCTGCGCATCCATTCCAGGTCAACTTGCTGCTGTCCCTGCGCTTCTTCAGGACAAACTAGTCTTACACTACACAAAATAACCCACATTAATTTTTCTACTAAGAGAACTTTAACAACTCTCAGCTCAGTGTGTTTGTAGCTAAACCCATTAATGGCTTCAAAACTCCTTCCACCCACTCCCAAAATGCTTCACCTCCTTTCCTGACAAACTCTTGTTCCTTGTACCTTCAATACAACAAACTGCCTGGGCAGCAAGATGTCTGCAAAAACTTCCTCTCAAAGGGACATTCTGCTCTTATTACTGAGGTTTAAAGGAAAAAAAAAGGCACAAAATAATATATTCTTGAAAGGCATGTGCACGTGTCTTGATCACAGATCATTATTAACAGGAACAGTGAAAACACAGATTGCAGATTTGGTGCCTTTGTTCTTTAATAGGCCTCTTGTTCCCCAGACTACTTTAAAGAAAAATTAAGTTTTCCAAGGAAACATAAGTTGATCTTGTCATCTTTCATGACTAACAATTTGTGAACATGAAACAAAGAGAGACTTTCAATTACTTCAAAAACAAAACTCCTAGAGCACAAGGTTTCGGAAAGGGAATGGCAATTAACCACCAAATAAGGTGACAAGAAGCTTCTAGAAGCCTCATTTTCAATGCACTTTCAGAACAAGCTCAAAGTACAGGGAGTACTGAGAGCTCCAGCACACAGCAGTGCCAGAAAGCAGCTTTATTTAGTTCAGACTGGGAGGACTGGAGAGCACAAAGACATTCAGATTTAGTACCTTTAAAGACCTATGGATTGGATCTTCACCACTGTCAAGTGCAGCAAATCTTCCCCAAGGGATGAGGCAAACTCAGGGCCACGTTTTTTACCTCCACAATGGAGCATCAAACTGGTTTTAGGGGCACTGGGTTTATCACTGGGGCAGAACTCCAGCACTGCTGCAGGACGAAGGTGGGGACCTACATCACATCACTCCCATGGGAGGGAGGGTTGTGGGCCAGTCCCACCACAGCACATTGGGGTGAGAGTCAGAAAAGGCACTCAAACTTCACCCACCCAACATGCCTAATGCAGCACGACTCTGTCTTCGATCATCTCTGGCAATTTCTCTCTCCTTTTTATTACAGAATGCAAAGGGAATAGCATGCGGATGCACAAATACATATAATATTATATGCTCACTAGAATAATAGAATAATTTAGGTTGAAAGGAGCCTCCAGAGGTTTCTATTCCCACCGTTCCGATAAGCTCTTAGAGGAAGAAGATGGAGCCAGACCTTCCTCATGTCTTTTTAAGACTACAGAAACTCTTCCTGTAGGGTTTTTTAACATCACTATTGAATTTAACTTCCTGTAACAGCTCATGTCATAAAAGGGAGTTGATGTTCCCGTGTTTAAAAGACAAACCTTCTGGAAAAAAGAGAACCTGGACACTGGCAGAGGTAGCCCAGGGAGGCTGTGGCTGCCCCAACCCTGGCAGTGTTCACAGTCAGGTTGGCTAAAGCCTTGAGCAACCTGCTCTGGTGGGAGGTGTCCCTGCCCAGGGCGGGGGTTGGGGCTGCATGATCTCTAAGCTCCATCCCAACCCCTTAACATACTATGAATCTGTAAACCACCTGTATTGCATTTTATGACCTTAACATGGGGTTTCAAATTAGGACTGGAATCTAGGAGGAATTCAAATTCATCTGGAATCTAAAAGAAAAGGTAAGGGAGACTAAGGGCACCAAAACTTTGCTGGAACTGCATGAAACAGAGAACCCAAGCTGGATTTTTCCCAGAAGTCTTACCCCACACCAAAAATTCTACACAGGATTATTATTTAGGTTATTTATTATTGGAAGCCTCTGAATTTTATATTATTAGAAACCTCTGCATAGGTTATGAACTTCTGAAGTCAAAGAATCCTGGAAGGAGATAAGCAGTGAAGACCTAAACACACAGACATTGCCATTAGATCAACTCAAACATATCAGCTCACCCCCAAAATGTGTTTCAATGCATTCCAAGGACAAACCCTCCTGAAACATCTCACAAAGACTTATTTCTTTTGGCAGAAAACACTTGTGAAGCTCCAATGGAGTAAGGAGCACCACGAACCGTGGCAACTCCACCTTCCCCTCCTCACTCCTGCCTGCACAGTAGTCTCATTGAAGAAGTCACTCCACATCGAGCTCATTGTGGCTATCAACCACACAACAGTTCCATTTTGTGTCAAGAACAGCAAAGAAAACACACCATGTGCTTGACTCTTACCTATTGCTTGGAAGGGACTCTGCCACTGCCGAAGTGCTATTATTAGCAGCCCCTGCTCGGGTATTTACCTGCAGGCAGGGAAAGGATCTTTATCAGCCACTTGTGTTCAGAGGACACTATTCTAATTAACCTGTAATTTGCCAGGAATTTCTCATTTCACTAGGAAGGTTAATTAGCTTGTTGCTAGGCATGCTGATGGCTGAGGTGTCGCCTGTATGTAGGTTAGGAGGCTATAGGATTCTTGGGCTACAATATAGCATCTCTGCTTCTTAAATACTACCAAAAAGAGAGAGATATCCAGTATTTATTCTCATTTTAACAGCTAAACGATCAGTTCATAGACTTGTAGTATCCTATATATAATTACACAAGCAATAAGCAAACCTGAACGATACAAAACCCTAAAATCAGCTCATTATGGTGTTTGCCACACTTCGATAAGTGACTGAAATCAAATGAATGTGGGGAGGGTTTAAAAGCTTTGAAGTAGTGGCAGACAGCAGCTGATAAACTGAGTATGAAAACTGAGGAACCTAGGGAAGAGAGGTTAGAAATAAAATGAAAGGCAGCTCCAGCTTTCATGAAACTAGATAGGCAATAAAACTATATAGATAAAGGTGTATAAATAATTATAGACACATTTACTGATAGTATTATAATTTATATCAAGTATATTGTATATGTTTATATAACACTATGTTATTTATGTATAAATTATATATGTATGTATAATTATCTATTTATATATATAATTTCACACACATATATATAAGAGCTAACTAAGAGCTACAACAGCCAACACCTCAGACAAATCCTTCTCCCACCCTCCCCAAAAAAAAAAGAATTAGAAGGGAAAAAAATCAGCTTGTCAGAGCTGAAGAAAGTGCAGTTTTATTTGACATTTCAATAAGTGGAACACAGCATTACAAATCCATCTAAGTTTCCTGAAACAATTATTGAAATTCCTACCTTCAGGCCATGTATGTTCCTTTTCCCAGGAGGTTTGCAGGCTGAAACAGTAATTGACTAAATTGTAGAACACATCAGGGCCATTTACAAATTTGCTCAAAATGAAATCTTTTCAAAAGAAATGAGGGTGACACCAAAATTAGCAGAGAGAAATGATTGAAAAGAGCCTCACAAGACCCAGAGTGGGAATTACAAACCAGGATTTTTTAACTTGCAGCACTGAGCATTTATAAATGCTAAGAGCTTGCTGACATCATGTCACAGAAATTCTAATT